CTGACTGCGCGAAGCACATCGATGTGCATGAGAAATGACGACAGAGGACGAACGAAGGACGGTTTCGCTGTGCGAGGGTGCAGCGCTTATTCACAATAAAAGACACATGTTAGTGGCATGTCGTAATCAACGCGGGCGTCAAATTTTTTGCTAAAGAAAACGAAAACCGCGCCAGAGATCAGCCGCCATGTAATGAAACAAATACTCTACCTGCAGAAAAACGTAAAAAGTCGAACGATTACTCACAGCATGACATACCGCTCTTGGCGGCATGCACACGCGAATCCTATGCGTAAATCGTGATGACGACAGTGCTTGATGCAGACCAAATGGCAGCCGGCGTACCGAGCACACCAGGGGACCGGGCCTCACCTGCCTGAGGTCCACATCACCTACCAATCTGTAGATGAAAGAGCCGCCGCACCCAGCACACCAAGGGACCGGACCTCACCTGCCTGAGGTCCACATCACCTACCAGCCTGCAGGCGAAAACTTGCGATGACACTGTAGGATTGAATAATACCAAATGATTGATGCAAGGTCCACGTGTTTACCGAACCAAGAGAAATTTAATGATACGGAAAGTCGCGAAAACTTGAAATTCTGTCTAGAGTCGATGTGTTGAAGTAGAGAGAAGTGTCAGGGCCAGGGGTTATCGAGCGACTGTTCAATATGACCAGAGGGAAGATTTAGAGTGATCTGGAGGACGGGCAGGAAAACTTTTGAGCAGTTCAAGGAGGGCTTTTAGTTTTCCGTGCAAACGGTCGGTTTCGGGTTGGCTCGTTTTTCGCATCGCACCTCATCGTGCGCAGATCTCAGAATAGGTTTGTTTATGAACACAGGCGCGTACAGGGAGATGATTGCCTTGAATACCCACTCAGACTATGAAAAAAATGCGCCAGAAAACAACAAGAGTAACATCTTGTCACTTTGAATATGCAAGCTGGACAACAATCGTAACACCGAGATGCCTCCGTCCAACCCATATTTATGACTTGTGTATATGTGCAATGGACGTAACATGTCTGTAATCTCGAACGCAGCCGAGCTCGGAAGGATACTAGTGATGACAAACTGATTTGTTTTCAATGGGACGCACGATCCCGACGTGATTTTCTTTCTTCACACAAATGTTTTCCCCCAATTGTTTCGCTGTCTTTCCACGATGTATTCTGGTTGGCTGAAATTGAAGCATTCGGATCAGAGTCGGAACTCGGCAGAGCTTGTTGTTCTGACCTTTGTCCGGGCCCCAGGGCCTGGTGTAGACGCGTTTGTGCTGATTGGAGACATAAAACAGGTCTCCGCCCTCAAGCGGCGACGCGCACGGTACTGACGTGAAGGCCGATGTCGAGAGCGGCCGTGCCGTGCCTCAAAGTCACGCCGTGCCTCCGAAGGCGTCACAAAAAGCGAGCGTCTGTGACAAATCAAGAGCTCCCCCATAAATACACGGCTTCTTGTGAGCGCACATCACGCGCACAAATAACAGCGCACGTCAAGAAAGGTGATGTCTCCAGAAAGGGCGCAATGTTGGCCAGATCGCTCGCATGCGAGGTGTTTTTAGAGTGGTGCCACGCTGCCTCCAAGTGGCATCAAGGATTCTTTTGACAAAAGGAGCGTGTCAAAAAACCCTTGTGCAGACTTGGCCAAATCGCCCATGTGAACGTTGCTTTTTATAGCATAGACTTCTACACCCTTCAGAGGGAATCAGCTAGTCTGTTTCATATTGTGGGTATCAATTTAGGTTGCTGACAACATCTCGGATGTAATTGAAACACTGTAAATATCGCGGCATTTTCTTCGCCTTTCCCCGACCGCCTAGGTTTCTGGCCGAAGGGGGGGGGGAGGGGGGGGGGGGGGCTCGCCCAACGCAGTGCGCAGAACAGATAGCCGCCAATGGCATATACTCCAGAGCCAGTGTAGCTACCAGCATTACTCTGCCGGTGCAGCGGTCCTAACAGCGCCAGTGCAGCGCATTACCGGACCTTACTCGGAACGGTGTAACCGCGCATCCCTCTCAAAACTCTATATGATCCTTGCTACCGGAGCCCCATGGGCGGTAGCTGGTTTCGCTAGAACCAGTGTGGTACTTGATCATTCGAACCTCGCTTGGCGGGCAGTTTCACATTTGCCACTTAGCTGCCGGTCCGAAGAAAGACCCTCTTTTTGGTTTCTTAAATATTTAAAAAACAAAAGGGATTTAGGGGTTTATCTTCGGCACGACACTTCTTAATACACGTTACGGGCAAATGGTTTCTTTGAACAGTCGTGTTTTCCATGACTTCAGTGTGATGCTTGTACGGCATCATAGAACTGCCACACGAAAGTTTTCAGGTGTCATAAAGCAATCCGGTGAGTGCATTTCTAAGAGCGAAAAAGATCAGAGCAAACGCCAAATAAGGGACACAAACTGGAAAAGGTTCCCTTAAACACGCTGTTTTCGGGGGCATCTGCAACACTACATGGAGGATTCATTTCGCCGAAAACACCCTAGAAAGAGCTAGTTTGTTCCCAGTATATACAGACACACGGAATCGAAAAGATGTAAACGTTACGTACATTCGTGCTGTGCGTACGAATGTACGTAACTACATTGCTAGTTGTAGATCACCAATCCGTACTGTGAGGGGTTTTTCAAACGGAGGGGGCCAACTTTAAAGCCAGCATTTGACCGCGCGCTTGTGCATCTAAACTAGGTGCCTTAGATTCCAGCTGCAGCTGTAATGTTATTTTCAACGAATCAGATTTCTTGTTCATGCATATGACCTTTGAAACTGATAACTTTGTGAAATTTTTCCGCCCGGTGTGATCTGTGCTCTTCTACTACCACGATAAAGGTACAGTACTGGTTCAACAATATTTACTTCTGCAGACACAGTCGCTTTTCTGTTTACTTCTGCACACACAGCCTTTCTCGGCACACACAGTCGCATTTCTTCGGCGTGCTCAGCGATCCGGTTGCTGTTGCAGTACACCGGCACAGATCCCTACAAGTTTATAAGTTGTTCAGTACATTAGCAAGGAGAATGGAGATAAGGTTCGGTTGATATTTCGGCAACATGCCTTTATCGAAACAATAGCAGAACTGCTCTTCTTGTTTCCGATAAAGGCATGTTGCCGAAATATCAACCTAACTTTATCTCCATTCTCCCGGTTTTTCCGAGGAATAAAGCCTAAACCACTGTCTTACCCTACAAGTTTGTTTCGATTTTAAATGTGCGCCTTCAAAGCATCATAATTCGACAAATCAGTTGTAGACAACTGCTCCGGTGGTCGGGAACTCCGCTCACGTCATCAGCGCTGAAACCTCCCGCAAGCAGCTGCGGCGAATCGGCCGGGTGGTTCAAAGATGCAAAACTGCGGATGGCTTCCGCCAGCCCGCTTATGGCGGCGGCCATGCTTGAAGTGTGGCTAATAGCTTTCGATGGCATTTAGGCTTGAAACTCATGCACACCAATTTCTTGTTTTAAGCTTTAGGTGATCCATGTGCGCTTTTGTACATCCCAGATGGTACTATCCCGGACCAGTAATGCATGCAGCTAGCCACCTGCACGCAGTACTGAGACAGCCTGCAAAGATTGTGCTCTCCCTTTGGAGGTGGCTTGTGGCCTCTCCCGATTTTTGCATGCGATCAGTCAAGGCAGGTGAAGAGATACATCATATGAGTGATGTAACCCTTCGAGAGGAATAGCTCAAGAGATACATCACTTTTAGTTAGGAGAATTCAAGCAACATGTAGGGGCTTGAGATCCACGAATACCTTAAGATCAGGGAGGCAAATGCGACGTATCTTGATTCACGACCAGCCTCCGAGGAATCGATCGAATGCCGAATGTCTTGGCACTGCGGTGTGGTCAGTTAAGACAATCCATCATTACTGGGCTGACCGGTTCCGAGATGTGATGAAAACGAATATCCAGGCGTGGAAGCAATCTCGGAAGGAACGTTCGGCCAGATGCTGGTGATTAAATAAAAGAATCCGAAAGAAAAACTCGCAGGGTTAAATACGCGAAATGCTGTACCAACTGTTTGGTATCTTCCTTATTGACATAAGTTTCTTCTTTGTCGTAGCAATGCTGCAAAAGTCCGGGCTCGTCATTAACCCTATGAGAGATAATTCTGCTGTAGTGGTACTTGTAATGTCACTGCTTTAGGCCAGAGCGCTGCGCCCGAATGTTTAATCTTTATTCGAGTTGCGATCCAAACATTCCGTTTGAATAGGAATGAAATACGGGTGGTCAAGACATAATTTTGATGATATATTTATCAATGCAAACGCTGAAGGCCTGAGAGCAATACAAGCAACAAAAACTGAAATGGCCTAAGCCATCATCCATCTGAATTTTCAGCTTTGCATTGTAAAAAAAATTAAGGCACGTTTTCCATTCGCTGCTCTCACACTCAACTACAACTTGTAAGCTTTTCGGTGTCAATGCATGCATTGTTGGCCATGATGTTCTATTAGCTATTTGCAAACTCAGTTACAGTGACCTGAGCTGCTCGGTGTCGACACATGAACGCGTAAAAATCTAAACGACAAATAGCCTATGCATTGCAGCAGATTACAGAGTAGTTCTCAAGTTTTGTAACTTGCTCGATAATGAAGATAATTAATGTGTGGCTTGTCCTCCACGAAAAGCTCTGCCTATCGATCACGAGAGCGTTACAAATTGTGCTTTGAGCATTCCAGCAGCATTGCTCGAAGCATAGCTGAAGGCTCTTAAGATTGATAACGTGACCTAGGCTGGATTATCCCACACCGTAGCGATTTTTGCCGCCTTTTCAGGTTTCTTACCAAACTTGCCGTTGTTTTGGTCTTATGTTGGCAGTGGTAGATGCATAAAATTTGGAGGTATGATACTCCCGCAAGAGGTACAAATATCCGCGACAGGCCAAAAACGCACGTCAGCATACCAACTATAAATGCAGCATGCCGTGCAGGCACTGCCCACCTCAAGTTACTTCTGTCCGCTCCGCATGGCCATGCGTCGGGCAGCGCTCACCTCTGTTTGGCAGTGGCTGCCACTGACAGCAAGGACGTCACCCACACGACTAGGGCGACCACGCCGAGGGGTGTCATCCTTCTCTGATGTCGACACAGCAACTGTCACCGCACGCGTTGCGGGCGCACGCGACCGCCCGCCGCCGCCAGACGCGCGCGGCCGGTGTCCACCCCGCTGACGGTCTCCAGACGGGGACGTGCTTCAGGGAGTTCGCCCAGTGATCGGTTCACTGATGTCCTTCGGTGCTGCTGGGGCCCGAGCCGGCCGCCGCCGTCCGCGGGCGAGAACTGGAGACGACCGCGGCGGCGGCGGACGTCAGCCGGGCTTGCGCACGCGCCCCCTCCCCGTACTCCCGTCTCGGCTCCTCCGCTCGGCCAGCCCAGGGGGCGTGGCAAAATCCGTTGGATTACAAGGAAAGAAATTGGCGTCTTCAAAACTGGGTCTTTGTTGGATCCCGGAGAGGGCAGAAAGCAGATTTTGAGGAAAGTGCTTCAGCCGCAACAAAACGCGCACAGGTGAAATGCCACCGCTTTTGAACGTTACCTATGTCTAGGACTGCGCACTGAACATCACAAAACTGGAAGTATCATTACACGGTGCCTGTCTCCCATGGGTCCTTGGAAAGCTTCTTGTAGGTGCTAGCGTTTGCCGCTACCCTCAAGCGGGAAGGCGGGGGGGGGTGGGGGGGGTGCGGGGCACTTTCCTCCAATTTTGGGGGGATGCGATGTTGGATAGATAAGAGGGGAATTGGACTGCCGAGAGAAGCCATAAAAAGGGGAGTGACAGTGATTGGTGTGGAGAGTGATTGCGTTCCCCAGTTAATTAATGGCGTTAGAGTAATCGTAAAGGATGGAGAGCAGGAACGGAACGCCACGAGTCTCGAACATGGGCTTTGTCAGCACAAGTGGGAGTTCGATGAAAGAATAAGGTTCACGTTAGTACAAGTAGCAATAAAGGATCGTTAGACCGTCTCCAGGCAAAAAAATTGAGTGAGCACATAAAATGAGAGGGGAATAACTTAAGATGAGATGTGAATGGGAAGAAGCACTCAACTTATGGATGGGATGGATGATGGTAATATCGGGGCAGGAGCCACACATCCACGCACTGTTTTATTAGAAGTGTGTCACGGGAGACGGTAAGCCAGAGTTAGTGTGAGGTCTGAAGTAGTTAAAAGGTAAACAAAAAAAGGCACAATTAAAAACTATCCCGTCGGCCCTTACGCCGAATACTCTGTCAGCACGCATGGCGGAGTGCTGCGTGACAGAGTGATGGGGTGATGAGTGGCGCATGACGGCATGACATCGGGCATTCCAGCTGACAATCGTGCTGACGACAGATCGTTCAGGGCCTTTCACAAAGCGGCTTCGCTGCCATACTGAAGACTTCCACAATCTTGAGATAACTTAATGGACGTTGATTGGCTGACCGATAAAGCGTTGCTGTAACCCCAATGATGATTGGTTACGGTGGATGCGGGCGTCATATAATTCACACAGACGAGGCGTTTTTCAAGCCTTAGATCTTGCAGAAGCTGGCCGAACAGGCGGACGTATGTGCAGTTACAGTGCGATTATTTTATTTTGAGTGTCAGTGGTGGGCGGAACTATTGTTGGGAAGGCGTTACTAACCTAAAGCATCTTCGGAGGCCGTGGGTAAGTTGAAAGCTTGCCTACCGTGAACGTATCGTGCCATTCATGACACTGGAATGCTGATCTGCGTAGATGCTAAGTTTGCCGAAGTTTCGTGTAAATCTGCCAGCACTTTTAATATGCGATGCAAACTCGGCTTACGCAGTTCAGGAGAGCTCAAGCGAGCACTGAGCCGTAAGCAGCCTGTTAGATCAAAATGCAGGGTTTTGGCACATGCGAACAAGATTGGGCACTTGACACTGAAAAACGAACACTGTGCCGAGCGCATGCGGCGAAGTCCGGTGGGCTGACATCGACATCCCTATTTTGCACTCAACCCAAACGCCATACGCCATGCGGCATACTCACTACCTTCGCAAAGAGACGCAACTCCTGAAAGCTCGATGTCTGCACATTCGGCGAGGTGCGTGGCGCGACATTCCTGCTGCTCGATGATGAATGAACGGAGCGAACGGAGGGGACGAAATGCACATCGTGTGGAGTGAGGAGGAGCCGAAACCAAAATAAAGTTCACTCAGAATTTCGACCAAGAGGAGGCAAATTTGGTGAGATCTTTTCAGGAAACGTGGTTGCATGCACAAAAAAGAGAAAAGCAAGCGCAACATGTTCCAAAAGAGGGATTTTCCTTTTATTTGCCCATGTTGTCAATGTTGGGGGTTGGGCTTCCTAATGAAATAAGGAGCTAGACCCTTGCACCCAAACTGAATGCAAAAATAGACCGCTGGTAGTACCCGTAGCTACTTCTAGATTATTTCTGTACGGCTCTTGCTCTCTTTTGAGGATTTCACTAGCTCAGAATGTATTGTCATGTAATTATACCTAGATAAAAGAAGTAAAGTGATTAACCATCATGCGTTGTTCCAGAAGATACAAGTTGTATGTATCATAGATCGTGTTTGTAAAGTGCCACGCATTTCATTGCTGAAAAATTTGCATTTGAATGTTGCTTTCTTAACTCAGCATGTTTGTGAAACGATCGCTTTTCCAATCAGTATTTGTTGCGAACAGTTACCAGATACTTGCATGCACATTTGTGCTCAAGGAAATATAAGTTGGCAACTTTTACATAAATGATGCCGCCAATACAAAAAGCCGCAACGTAGCCAGTGCTACCCGCTCAAAGCCCTGCGATCTTTTAAGCCCACTTATTGCGGGCCGGCGGGATTAAAAGTGACACCTCTACACTGCACCACAGAAGCTGGTGCACCACAGGAGCTGAAGCACCACAGAAGCTGGTGCACACATCATACAAATGCATTCACGTAACGCAATGACAGCGGCAGTTTCCACATTTCCCTGTGTGGACCTTTGATTATGGGGCCATAGCTTAGGTACTCTGGGCATCATTAGCGGCCGAACTTATGTAATCCTGTTGTCCTGCCGTGCCCACCATCCGTCTCGCTTTCGGCTAACTTTTGCCACCAGACATTTGCTGTCAGCTGACCAAAATGCTAGCCAGTTGGGCTATGTCGGTCACCATGGTGACGAGCCCTTCACAGTCTGCCACCGGCACCAGTTTTCGTTGTCTGGTGGGAGCGGTGCAACGCTTCAGCTGGCCGTCCGATAAGCCCGGGACGCTGTGCTAGACATTTAACAAGATAATGCGGCTAGTTTCACGCTTCATTTTCATCTTGGTCGCTTGCTTCATTTGGATGCACGGTTCATGTCATCTCATCTCACTTGGGCTCAATTTGGCCCGGGTGCTATCTTAAGATATCATGTTTGTTTTCAAGCATACGAACGACTGGGGGCGTCTCGGAAATATGATCAGTGAGCTTTGGCACGGCGGGCAGCATAAAAATAATCGGGAAGATTGTTAGTAATTTTGACCCTCTAAAGCTCAGATAATCCCACGGCCTTGGTATGAACTCATACAGCGTTCTGCGTAGGTAGGGTATCTAGGTTCGCCCTCTAGTTCAACATTATTCGACCTTATTTAACCTTATTTGGCCCTAATGTCACAACCTACAGGCCTTACAAAATGACGAGTTCACATAGAGGGCTACCCAATCGTTGCATGCTGTCTCGAACTCATAATTTTTTATATCTTAGGGGTCATAGACCCCTTCATCCGAGCTCTCCGCATTCAACCGGCCACCCGGGGGCGTGTTAGCCAGTGCCTCCTCGGGTGGCACCGCTTCTGGAGCTCTCACATCCCTTCCATCATGTATTGCGGTGGAGCTTTCACATCCCTTCCATCATGTATTGCGATGGAGCTTTCACATCCCTTCCATCATGTATTGCGGTGGAGCTTTCACATCCCTTCCATCATGTATTGCGGTGGAGCTTTCACAATCCTTCCATCATGTATTGCGGTGGAGCTTTCACATCCCTTCCATCATGTATTGCGGTTCTGACCTTTAGATGGCAGCTGAAGCCTGACTTAGCCCTCAACCGACGAGCAGAATCTGCATGGACTGTGGTCGTACAAATCGCCGCTGTGGGGTAGAGGACGAGACACGGCTCCACGTGGATTGATCGCAAGCATGGTGTTCGCGGAAAGGGGCAGCAGTTGGCCAGCTTAGTACCGTATCGCCTGGGTGAGCATGCGTATGGTAACGCCGTTCATTCACGGCGCGGGTTACAAAGCCGGGATAGCTAAACATCGCATGTGTGTTTTTCCCATTTGGGGAAATGGTTCATTTGGTTCAAACGACATGCTTCAGGTTCGGAGCGCTTCCTGAGCAGAGCTTCTTGTGTGTGTCCTGAACCTTACAACCTCGGTGTGCCGACGCAGTTCGTCGGATAAATTTGCCACCGACTTTAGTCAAACGGGACCTGCAGAGGGCCTAAATCGCGGCAGCCTCGGCAGGTGACCCCACCCAGGCCAGTAACCAGCTGGCATCTTCGTGCCAGTCGGGCCCAATGACCCACTCTCTGGCCCGGTCCAGCACCACTGCGTTATGGGTCCAGCATCTCTCCCTCAGACCACTGAAACAGTGTTCTTGGTGACGCGCAGTGGACATGTGCATTGACCCACTTGTCGATGTTTTCTATCACACGGTTTAATTAGCTTCTGCCGGGCTTTATTTCCCCCCGGGTCTTCAGAACTAGTCGTTATAACTAGCGGGGAGTTCCCCCTGGAGTTGGCAACTTCTTCAATTCAAGTGAAGTCCGCGCTCGTCCGCAGTGCGGTGTCGTCGCCGCCGAGGTATGCAGCCAGTGGCGCAGGTCAGGCGACGTGGGCGGAGCCGGGACGGGGGCTGATCGGCGGACCTGGGTGAGCGCGATCGGGCTGCACCGCCCTGGTGCGCCAGCTACGCTGGTGACCATGCGCCAAGGTTACCCACAGGCAGCGTATTTATTTTAATGGCATAAGCACAGCTGTT